TGGCGATGTCGACAGATCACCGTCGACCGTTCAAGCGTGCTTTTTCCCCGTTCACTCTTTTCGAGAGACGCAGATTGCAACGGAATATCGATTTCGGCAGCACGAAATTCAAAATAACTTTTTTAAATCGAAGGTTCTCATCCAGAGAGTGAGTTTGCATTAATACAGAAGATCACTTTATAAATACACGAGCTTCGGCGTTGTCGGACGAAAAGGAAACGAGGTGGTCTCAGCTTGGTCACAAATATTCCCATTCCCTAGCAGCAGTTCAGAAAGTTGTTGAGCAATGTAACAAAATAGAAACTATTTGACATCATATTTCACTATTATTTCGTGTTATAATATTCCCTAAACAATTCATTTAAATATATGATTATGTAAATCAAAAAAATATGTTTTCATCTTTGACCTGTTTTCTTTGATTTTTGTTTGTTTTACGAATTAGAGTTGCAGTTAAGTGCGGTGCCCACTATTCCAAATTTACAATACAATGTTGAATAACATGGTTTTAGAGGTTTAAAACGTTTAGCTTTTTAATACCATGTTAGCAGTAGACACATTCTAGGCACGAATGAAATTGGAAAATTGTGGTTAATAATGGCAATAACAGTTCTTAATTTTTTTTCAATTTTCATTTCTGTACCATTATATAAGGAATTATATAGGAAATATATTACTTTATTCTAGTTAAGAATAAATACAAGCTATTTGTGCCTTCTTTTCTTGGAATAAATAGGAACATAATAGAAACAGGTAGAAATGGCCTGTTTGTTCAATTGCGAATACTCCAAACGCTGTAAATGGAAGTTACTTCAGTGCACACAGACAAGTTATTTATTCGACAAATAACAAGTGAAAGTTACAAAACGAGGTGAAATGTATAAATTAAGTCGTGTTTGTCCCTGTTACATAAAGGTCGGTATAGTTTAACAAGAATTGGAATATATTATATTATAATGAGATCCAGTTAAGCTATGTATTTTAACTGCAATAATAATATAGATGCTTTTTCAGTCATTTGTTTTTGCGTGAAGCAATAGGAAATACGCTCTATTTTTACATTCAGTTGCACTATTATAACTCTTAATTCATAACTGTGCTACATCTCTAGACTGTCCCAATATCTGTCCCATTGTCTTGACAAATCGTCCACTGTAAGTTTTATAGTATATCGCATTGTAAGAAATCATTGGAATGGATGCACAAATAAAATTTCATCTCATAGTTGGATCGTATAAAAATGTGTTGTATGACGGGCCGTGTATATTTCATGAACAAACGGCTTGTTTCTGTAATTCTGACATCTTGATCACATACAGGTACGCAGATTGTTCGCCATGTTGCAGTTACCGGACGTCAGAATCGTGAATTTGAAATCGTAAACAGGTTGGCCGAGCTCATCTGAATGACGAACGGTGTTCTGCATTACACGGACCGGCCTCGCGCGGTGAACCGCTATCGTCCCCGAGAAGTGAATGACACTGTCTTGTCATCCACTCGGCGCCAGTAATAAAGCTAATTAGCGCTCTCCGTGTTTCTCGTTGTGCGTAATGAAGGGAACTGTTTCGCAGCCCACCAGCCGCGCTCCCTCCGAGGGCGGTTCTGATGCGTAGTTGAACCTGGAGCCGCACTACCAAGCAACTTCTGTTGCTGATTTAGCGGGATAAACCGGCGCATTCCATAACAGAATTGGTAGTGTTTTTGTAACATCTGTGGGGGAAAACGATGACTACCTAAAATCACATATTCTCTAATACAGAGAATATCTATTATATAATTAGATGATTCTGTAATCACTTAAAGAGTTCTATACAATATTTAAAACATTGGTGTAGGCCAGGAAATGTATCTTCTAATAGCGAAGAAGAGTGCACATACGGTATTCTGTGTGTTCTAATACCATTTTTTAATTGTTGTTTATTATCGTTTCATTTGCACTGTAATTGCAATTTCTAACGGGGTATCGTAGAAAAACGAAACAAACTACAATAGTTCTGTATTGTAATTCAGTATGTTACCTTTGTATTCGTCGGCTCTCTCTCGAATTGTGGTGTATTCCATGCGAATATAAATATTTGTTTCTTGTTGTTGCAGTGCCTCCTGAGCAGCCGGTGGTTCTTGATCACTGGGGGCGGCAACTCAACGCCACTGTTGGACCACACGACGAAGGCGATGACGTCATGCTCACGTGTCGCGTTATCGGAGGTAAGATGACAGCAATTTCTTAAAATTTTCTCTCGTTAGTTCTGGTTCGAATAGGTAACTGACTGCTTCACTCACGTGTCATTGCTGTCAACAAGATGGCCGTTGTCTGGAGTATTCTAGCAGTCGGCTGCTCTGATCAGTAGTTTTCTGTGGTTTCACCGATTAACAACAGACAAATGCCGGAGTAGTACACTAACAAACGGGCTACGTTCCTCGCGCGATCGTTCCTTCCTTTTCCTTGTCATATGCTCACACCTTACTTAAACGCATGTGCACTTACGGACACACTCGTACATGTACCACACTGCCCCACGTGTCAGAAGATCATTCGGGAGCTTAGAGTTCGTTCGAGATGCGGCAGTTACCTTCAAAATGAGAATATCTTGACCTCAAAAGCTGACGTGTATGTCCGCGGCGGATCTAAACATTCTGCGAACTAATATCACCTCCACACCCCATGATGAAACATTCAGTACACTTACGAGACAAATGACTGAGCCAGTGACGCACCTGGAAACAAAAAAAACACAATCAATTACAATATGCCTTGTCGAGACGGCCAGGAATGTAAACAATCTCGCACAGAAGATCTATGTACTCGAATCGCGCTTGAGCATGGTTTATGATTATGGTGTGGCTAACAGTTATTTTAAAAATTGAAATATTAATAATAATAATAATAATAATAATTACAATAATAATAATAATAACAATAATAATAATAACAATAATAGCACTATTTTATTCAACCCATCCATTATCGCTTTCATGTCAATTCTTTGATTTACACTTAAGACACGTAGAGAGAAATACACTATCCCCTTCCCTCATCGAAGTTATTCTTACTTCTGCTCACGCATAGACTGACTTTAGCTTAGAGTCAGCATATCCAGTGCCTGTGCGGTGGTTCTGACCGGGAAGTTCTAGGTTCAGAGACTCACAGTTAGCGCATTCATCTACTTCGAGTTAAACCGTTGTCAGGAAAAGACCTCAACCAAACAACTGCTCAAATCGGTTACTTTTCGTTGTTTCTCTGAACAATACCAAGCGAATGCCGGAGAAGTACCGTGACAAACGCGTCGCGGATTGATCGCGATATTTCCTTGCTCTGCCTTGTATTCTCTCGCCTTACTGCCTCACACTTACACCTACAAACTGCTCAACACTACCCCACATGTCGGGAGATCTGAGCTTGGCCCAGCGCCGGCGGTGCTTTGCTGGGGAAGATACCTGGAGGAATAAATAACCCGGAAGCCGGAGTGTAGGTCGGCGCCAAATCTAACCATCCACGGGATAAGGAAAACGGCAAATTTTCAAAGTAAAACATGCAATATGCTAATGGAACTACCGACCATATCCGTTGACGTGCCGGGAAACATATCAATCAATCCTGCCCGCGCGCTCTTCACGTTTTGATGGATGGATTGATTGACTGATTTGTGACTCCAGGCACGTCGACGGCTAATGTCATTAGATCGTTAATGTAGGGCATTTTTTTCTCGGGAGGTGGCGGTGATCTTTCCCTACTGAATGGTGAAATGCGGTGCCGATCTATTTTCGGTAGACGGAGTGTTCTCCAACGAACTATCTCCCCCAGCCGCGGCTTCCGTCTTACCAGCTCCCGACAGGTCTGCCGACAGTGTGTTCGTAGTGCATTAAGTGTAAATGTGTAAGCGATGAGTATAGATTAAAGAATAGGAAGGAATGATCGCGCGCGGTCCGTGGCCCGTTTGTTAGACAACTGATCCGGCATTTGCCTGGTGTTTGATCAAAGTAACAACGGAAAACTACCGAACAGAGAAGCTGGCCTCTAGAGTTATTCTCCAGCTAGCGACTGATGCGATAGATGCCTAGCTAGTGTCGAAAACCCTGCAAACGTCGGATTTCGAACTCAGGCCTTCCCGGTCAGAGGCTCTACAGTGACATCGGTTGACCCCCGTCTCCCGGTTCCCTCTTCGTGAAGCGACCGCTGCCTCTCGGTGGGGGGTCGGCGAAGGAATCCCAGGACATCCAGCAGCAATGTCACTTGCAGGATTCAGCGGGGAATGCAGGGTTCTGAGCTACACTCAGGCCGGCGTCAGAGTAGGGTAAAGGGACCGAAAGAGGTATGGGTGAGATCGATTCAGGAGGAGGCTAGGGCAAGGCCAAGGGCGACGGGCGAGGGAATGTAGTGAGAACATGGGGGCGTGGGCGTATGAGAGGGCCGAGAGCAAGGGCGAGGGCGACGACTAGGCGAGGGGCGAAAAGGCGAGGCGAGGGCGAGGGCGAGAGGAAGCGTGGTGGCTGCAGGGCGGGGGAGGGTGACACGAGGGCGAGGGCGGATGCAAGATGGGGGCGAAGGCTGGGTTGGGGTAGGGGCGAAGGTGGGATCAAGGGTGGGGGTTGGCCAGGAGGAGATAGCGGAAGCGACGGGGGGCGAGACCGGGGGCGTAAGGATGGGTGGGTAGGGGCAAGGTGGGATCGAGAACGGGGGCGGGACGTGGACTGGTGCGGACGCGGCGGGACGCGGGGCGAAAGCGGAGGGCCGAGGACGAGGGGAGGCCGAGGATGAGAGCATGAGAGCGAAGACAAGGAGGGAGGCGAGGGCGAGGGTGAATGCGACGGTCGTGGCGAGCGGCGGATGGTGACCGCGAAAGAGCGGCCCCTCTGCCGGCCAGGCCGGCCGGCCGCTGCCAAGAGCGCCGGACTGGCTGGGGGTCTGGCGCTGGCGCCGGCGTCGGAACCCAACGCAAACAGGGCGCAGGGCGGGTGGCGGCGGCGGGGCGCGTTTGCACAGCGAAGGCTGTTTGGCGCACGTGAATGCTCCCACGCCTCGCGGCTCTTCGTCGAAGCCTTCCGCAGGGACCCCTTCGCCCACGCCCGCGGACTTCCGCCGTCGCCTTCAAGGGCGCCTGGAGCGGGCGCCGTCGCCGAGAAGGCAGACGGACCCCCCCC